TGATGTATGTATATAGAAGGGGATGCCAGAAGATGCAGATCAAAAAACCTCTAAAATTTGTTTACAAATTTGATTATATATTTGATATATAAAAGATGTCGTAAACATTTTATAAATATTTCTGAGCAGCTACAGTTCTAGTCTTCAAAAATGTTTAATTTTTCCTCGTCTTAGAAAATTAAGTTTCATTCCATAGATATTGTTGTAATAACAGTAGTACGTATCTTAATGTTATAGTAAAAGTCCAAAATGTTTTATTTACTTTTTTGTATTTAATTGAAAAAATTCTTTAATATAAAAAAATAAACAAAAAATTTGTACGAGTTGCCTCCTGTGAGGATTGAACTCACGACCCCTGGTTTACAAGACCAGTGCTCTGCCACTGAGCTAAAGAGGCTTACATTTTTCGCTCGTCTTTATAACGGGTTTTTTAATTTCTCTTCTACTCTCTCCACTGAGTGTGACTCAATTCTCGGCATTTAAACTTTCATCACATTATTTTGAATTTAATATGACTAATTGTTTTTCTTTGTTTATTTATTTACCCACTGTTTCCTTATGTATTGTTTTTGTGTTAGAATGCAAACAAAATGGTTTATAAAAAAAGAACACAAATGTTATAAAAAATAGTTTTTTTTTTTTAAAAGAGTTTGAGAATTATAAAATAGTTTATTAAAAAAATAAATATATATATATTTTTAGAAATGTAATTCCTTATTTTTGATCATATTAAACAAAATGTTGCTGAGTATGTTTATGTAAAGAGGTACAGCAAAATGTTTATAAACAAAAATTTGTGACAACATTAAAATACATATGTATAATGAGGCAATATGTTTATACTCATGTTTAGCAACATGTTAATGAAAAATCGTGAAGAGGGAAATTACTAATTTAATATTCTTATCAACCCTTGAAAAAAACTTCACTGTTTTTCATTCTATAGCAGGTTTTATCTTCGAAAAACTTTCTTTTAAAGAACGTCGTTGGTCCATTATACTATGTAGAGCTCGGAATCATTTCAAAACATTAACTACTAAACATGTACTAACTAATTGCCAAAAGCTATTTTTATAAAAATTATACTTTTGGTATATGAAGGCTTGCCTCCTGTGAGGATTGAACTCACGACCCCTGGTTTACAAGACCAGTGCTCTGCCACTGAGCTAAAGAGGCCTGTGGTTTCGACGAGTTTAAATACTACTTCAATCGAATGAAATTTTAAAAATATTATAGAACTTATAGGAAATTCTATACTAGTTACTCGGTAATTATTTAACATAATGTTAGTCACAATCTGACATCTTCAAACAAGAGAAACTGATAATAATGATAAACGATATCAGTACTATCTCGTATTGAAATGACGTAATTAATATCGAAGTACTGTTTAACAAGTTTTTCCTAATAATAGACTCCAGACTTATAAATATGTACTTACAAATAGGTAAGTACAAAACATAAACTTAAACATATCTATTGATACCGTTAGATTTGTTAAAGTTTTAAAATGAATCAGAGGAACAAATAGAAAAATTTTAAAAATTAATAACAAAAAATTTGTTTGAATGATTTGCCTCCTGTGAGGATTGAACTCACGACCCCTGGTTTACAAGACCAGTGCTCTGCCACTGAGCTAAAGAGGCTTGTAAATTCGACGAGTTTTATTATAATTTTACATTACCTAGTAAACGCTTACTCAACCCATTACTTTAGAGTAATATTTACATAATTTCTTGTTAAAAAAGCAGCATTTTTTATAAAATTGAGTTGAAAATATAACCAAAGCTTACAAAATGAATATGGGGGGATTTACTTAAACCAGCATTACACATGTTAGATTTTAAGTAATGACCTGGTAATGATTATGTGTTACCAAGTAATGCCTTTAATAATAGAACGATTTGTATTCTATTTTAAGATCTGGTATCATCTGTCTGATATAAAAATGTTTTGCCTCCTGTGAGGATTGAACTCACGACCCCTGGTTTACAAGACCAATGCTCTGCCACTGAGCTAAAGAGGCTTTTAATCTCGGCGAATTTTATTAATATGTATTTACATGTACTCTTCAAACGCTTACTCGACCCCCTACTTTAAATAACAACTTAAATTTTTAAAGTTTGGCTTCAAAAAATTACTTTTGTAGTATGTAATTTTGAGGTAATTATTGCAAAAGTTAACAAATACTTAATTACTTCGATTTCATTTCTAATCTTTAAATTAAAATATTTGAAATTTTGTTTTGCCTCCTGTGAGGATTGAACTCACGACCCCTGGTTTACAAGACCAGTGCTCTGCCACTGAGCTAAAGAGGCTCACAAATTCGACGAGTTTTAATAACATATGAAACTAAACACAGTTTAACCAGAATAAGCTTACCCAACCCATTACTTTACAGCAATATATTTTTATTTTTTTTTTATTTTTTTTAACACAAGAAAAATGTTTTCTTTTATTAATTACATGATGAGGTACATAACTATAAAATATTTGAACTTTTTGCCTCCTGTGAGGATTGAACTCACGACCCCTGGTTTACAAGACCAGTGCTCTGCCACTGAGCTAAAGAGGCTAGCGTTTTCGCCAATATTTTGCTAAAATTTTTATTTAAAGAAGTAATACTGAAATAACTACCATTACCTTAAGTCCAAATTAATATGATTCTTATTCATACCAACTTTCCAATGAATATTTCATGCGATTTTCGTTACATAGAAGTAGAGAAGTAATGAGATGCATTAAAAAAGTATATATGTATGTAAGTTATTCCTTATTCAGTATATGTTTTTTTATTCGTTTAGATGGGATTTTACCCCACATTAACCCGTTTGCTTCTGTAGCCCCGCATATTTCCTGTACAAAAATCACCGCTTCTACCTCGTCATCTTATGCCGTAAACACTTTGAAATATTATTTAAATTATTAATATAAAGTCCTAAAGATCCAATTCTTGGACTAATCTAATAGATATATTTAATAATTTTTTTCAGAAAATTAATCGTCGAGTAAAAACTTTACTTACCCGGTAAGTATGCACTATTCTGAAATATGGATCCGAATAGAACAAGAATCTGTTTTTGATATTTGCCAAACACCTCCATAATCTTGAGATACGGCTAAAAACCCGGTTTTTCGTATCTTTAAGCACTTATAAGTCAATAACTTAGTTGAATCTCAACCGATATAAAGAAGCCTGGAGAAATACATATGTGTGCATTTCATCGGCAAACATGTTTTTGATTTATAGTTTTGCACCGTTTTTCAAGTTTTTTTGAAAGTATTTTATATAGGAACCGTACTATTTATTAATTGATTAGAAATCTATGTTTACTTATGACGACGTTATTGATCTTTTTCTTAATACAAAATTGTTCAAAAACTGATTTCCTGAAAGATGCTTGAAGATGGGGTTAAATATGGACCGATGCTTATAAAATTTAGTGAAAGCATTTCGTTTTATATAAAAGATATTTATGGTGAATTTCCTCGTGATAGTAATATACTTAAGAGAATTATGGAAGTAAAGTCATTCGCTGAAGGAGGGTTCGCAGTAGTGTCATTTCCCAGGTATTTCAAATTTCGTTTATTTTGTCTCACTGTGTTACTGGAGCAAAGTGGGAGTACATACTTACCTTTTGGGTGAATAAGATAGATATATAGATAGATAGATAGATAGATAGATAGATAGATAGATAGATAGATAGATAGATAGATAGATAGATAGATAGATAGATAGATAGATAGATAGATAGATAGATAGATAGATAGATAGATAGATAGATAGATAGATAGATAGATAGATAGATAGATAGATAGATAGATAGATAGATAGATAGATAGATAGATAGATAGATAGATAGATAGATAGATAGATAGATAGATAGATAGATAGATAGATAGATAGATAGATAGATAGATAGATAGATAGATAGATAGGTAGATAGATAGATAGATAGATAGATAGATAGATAGATAGATAGATAGATAGATAGATAGATAGATAGATAGATAGATAGATAGATAGATAGATAGATAGATAGATAGATAGATAGATAGACATGTAGATAGCAAAAACTATACTGAAATCATTCCGAATGGAGTCACAATTTCTACACAACAAACAGCTACATATAACATTATTATCAGGACTTCAAAAGTATTTAAACATAGACAAATTTTCACCAAATTTAGAAAATTTAAAATTTTATTCTATTACTCGAAAAATTTTAATTTATGCAGCAGAAGAATACAAAGTGGGAAGAGATACATTGTATGTTCCAAACTCACATAATAGTTGTCTGAATTTGGTTTAACAGTAAATTCTTTTTAACAAACATTTTCATTTTGGTAAAAGTGGTTTAAATGTAATTTATTGTTTTATTCTTGAAATTTCATTTTACTTTGGTTATAAATACTTAATAAAAAAACTAATTAAAAAAATACTTTGAAGCATTGAAAATCATTTTTTTTCATAATTATTGTTTAAATTTAATAGTTGTTTTTATTGTTTATTTAATCCAACGTAATACAGACTTATCATTTTACAATTTCATTGCAAAACTCTTTCAATCTCATTACATACGTACATTCGCAACTACAATATTCTTTAACACATTCACTTTCTTTAAATTTTATTAATTAATATTTATGCATTTCTTTCTCTCTTTTTATTAATACTTTTTTTCGTTTTAATTATTTTGTTTCAGGCATTTAACAACCTTATGTTTTTGGAAAATAAAAACTGAACGCATTAAAATCATACACACATCATACATGTATTTATGTGGTTGTAAATAAATATTTAAATTTTAGGTAAGTAGTATTTAAACGTTTTTTTATTGTTATTTAATATTTATTATTAAATATAAGTTATATTTTCTAAAAATGAATATACTTGTAGGTAAAATTTTAAAGATTTTTTTTATTTTTATTAGAAAAAGTTTTTTTTAGTTTTATTTTCATTTACTTTTTATTAAAATTTAAACCATACATTTTATATTTCTTCTGGGAGCTCATAGTTTAGTTTAATAACTTTAAGTTTTGTTTCTTTGTGTTTAACATTAATTATGTTTATTTTTTCAGTTAATTTATAGTATATATTTTTAAGATAAATATATAATTTTAATATATTTGTTGCATTACGACAAGTTTCATTATTTTTCTATAGGATTCTTGTAGAGTTTTGTATAAATGTTCATTTAGGATAGTGATAGATTTGTTAGAAAAGATAATCATAATATTTTAAAGAAAAGACATTAAAAAACGTTTTAAGACCTTGTTTGACATCTCAGATATTCTATCTGTAAACCTCTATAGTTGTACATTTATAAAATATCGGTATTGGACTGCTTCAAACTTTTGCTACCTCTTATTCCGACGTGCAATGTAGTGGAGTGCAAATTTTCTTCATTTAATCAAGTCAATCATCAAAAATCTACATACATACAGGCCTATTCTGAATAATAGACTCCCTTGGAGTTTGTTCCCTCTACTATACATAAAGCATGTAAAAGGAGAAATATTGTTCATAGTGCGGTTTGTGCCATTATTAAAGTAACTTCGAAATTAAAATGTTCTTCGAATTGATAGGAACTTTGACTCTGAGAATATAAGTGCTAAGGATCATTTATCATTTCTTAGATAATTTAGAGATTGACGAAGGAATTAGCTATTGATCTGATTCAAAAAACAAGTAAGAATGTATAGTCGGACATGGTCGAACATATGGTACCCTACATCAGTGAGTAGTATGTTATAAATGTTGATTATTTTTAATAATAACGTATTTATGTTGTTTTTTGTCTTAATTCCGACAATTTGTTGTGATTTTCTAAAATAATGTTTATACTGGCATTACTGTGGGTCTATCCCTATAAATGTTGGTACAGAGTTTTAAGTTATTTATGTAGAATTTTATCGTGATACTAGTGTTTATAAGTGAATTATTGACCTACAAGTAATTCTTTGAAGAGAACTTTGTATGGGAACAAAGTCAAAAGAGGTCCGATCATTACGAAAGTCTGCAGTAATATTGCAGCAGTGAAATAATGGACCGATTTTAAACATTTGCTTCGTGCTTAGGCCAAGGACAAATTTCATCGAATTATATTGAAAATTTCGTTTGGCACACAGACGGACCGGTATAGTTTAATCGTATCAGAATGTAATTCTGAGCCGATTGATACACCTAATTTTGGTGTTACAAACATCAGCACTAACGGATGATACTCTTCCCGCTATAGTGATGTAGGGTATAACAAAAATTTAATAAGAAATTGTTACAAAATCTGAAATAATAAATATTCAAAATTAAGGTCCCATGCGTCATGGTTATTTGAAATTTTTGAAGCAGTCCTATTCCCCTTTGCTTTTTTACAAGGTCTTGTAATATTTTCTAAATAAAATTAATAATAATAAATACATTTCATTTTAAAAGGATTTACGTAAATAGAAAATACTTTGCGAATCGTTTTGAAATGCAGAATTTTACATTTAGAACTGAATTTCGAATTATTTTTTTTTTTTAATGTTGAAACTTAACAAAAAAATCCGAATGGAAAAGTTTATACAGTTTTTAGTTTGAACTATTTTTTTTTTGTGAAATTAAAGTATAAAAACTCATTTAAGGGTGGATTTGACAGTAGATCCTAAAGGACGAAAAGGTATTTAAGTTTTGAGACAAATAAATGAAATCTTGCCTTAACAATTCAGGAAAGTACAATTTCGTCCCTTATGATGAACTATTAAACCTAACCTGAAGATCTTCAAGGGAATATTTCCAAAGTTTTTTTTTGTTTAACTTTAATGTGAATGGCAATAAATATGTATTTTCTTTCATAAATTATAAAACTCAAATGTTGTTATTTTTTAAGGGGGAGGCACATTTTGGAAACTTATGTGTAGTTATTAAATTTATACTCGTTTTTGCTTATTTCTAAAGTTCAAGGATTTAAGATTATTATATTAATGTCATATATTTATTATGTGAAAAAATAAATTCGAAATAAAAATGCAATTTTTAATAAAAATAAAATATATAAAACAAATCAAAATGGGGAGAGAATATGGCCGCTAATACCATATAATGATTCGAAAAAAGTTTTTGAAATCACAACGCTGAGCTAATCTTGCTCTTTTCGACCATATTCAACTGAGAATTCAAATTTAAAAACAAAACTTGCCCAATATTTATATGAAAAATCCTTAACAAGTAACATATTAAACAAATGAATCATAAAAATAAGTTGTGATTAAATATTGTTTTTTATTTCATTTTAAGTATTCTTTTTCTTTTCTTTTTTATAATTATAAAGCCTATTATGTATTACATACATAATTGCAAGTATGCAAGTAAGATTATATAGTATATTGCATTTTATAATTAATTATCAAATTTTATGTATTATTTAGGTTGTATTATTAGAAAGACGATTGCCACAAATAAATGTTTACAATTTGACTAACATACACGTACAACTAACATGTTTTAAATTCTTCAGTCCATTTTTGTTTTCATATTGTTGAATTTTTCTTGTTTTATTTTGTTTATATTAGGATATAATAGCTAAGTCTGGGATCTTTTAGATCTTTTGTAGTTAATAAAATAAAAATTATTAAAAATATAGGTAGTAAGTAGATTGATTATTATATAATGATGAGAAGTGAAAGAGAGTGAATAAAAGGAAACCTTAATATTTTGTTTTCCACAGAACAAACTTAAATAAGAGAAATCATCCAATGCAGGTACGTTTTTATGAAATATTTCTTTAGGTTTTCTTTAGTTCATGCAATTTTAAGCACATGTTGTGGTATTGTGAGCCACGCTAGTGCCTCCTCCTCCTCCTGCAGCAGTGGAAGTTGTGGATGAATCCAAATTAAAGTCTTTAGAGCGACAGCACATTTCGCAAATACGCTTTGTATTGGGATTAAGGAAGGTACAAAAACTACAACTCCATTCGGAGGGACTAGTAACAATAATTTGGGTTGCATTAGGAGGTGCGCTTGTTGAACCAACAGATGCTGATGTTTTCCTTGTTGTCGTTGACGTTGAGGATTTTTTGCGCTGTGTACTGCCATTTGCCGTATTTGTTAGAGAGTCATTATTGTTATTGTTCATTGTCTTGGGTGGTGTTTTATTGTCATTAATTTTTGGTTGTGTTTTATTGGGATGATGATTTGGATTAATGTTGTTGGTATTGGATTTTGAGGTTTCATTGGTTTGTTTAAGGGCCGATTTTATTTTCTTTGTATTATTGTCCATTGAAATTTTCTGCTTTTGACCACCGTTTATTGAGGAGGAAGCAGAAGCTGTGATTTCCATTTTCGTATTATTTTTCGATGAATATTTCGAATTCTCAAAAGTTCTGCTTTTTTGTTTAGGTTCCAATTGCGGCTGTTGCTGTTGGTGCTGCTGTTGTATTGTAGTTTTATTATCATTTCCTGCATAATTAGATCTTCTCTTCTCAGCCGAACTGCTCTGACTGGGCGAGGTATCGTTATTAATATTAAGCGAGTCCAAATCTAAAGATTTAACTAAAAAGTCTTCCCGTTCACCCAGATCTTTTGAGTAGCCTGATCTTTCTAAATTTTGAAAAACATAATTCCATGATTCAAACGAACCTACACCCTCTTGATTCTTTGTAAACTGTGTAGGAGAACGCAAGTGATTGCGTTCGTTCTCTTGTGGCGGCAAGTTGATGAAATCATCGTTAGCTGATTCATAACTTATATCTGTTGTATCGCCCCGATCTGCGGAGTTGTATGAAGATTTTCGTACATTTATTGCATTCTGTAGAGGTTTGCGATTTTCCCTCGGCGTTGGTTTAGCATACACATACATATCGTCATTTATAGCGGTAGGTTTGCCGGTAACATAATGCTGTTGCTGCTGGCAAGACGAAGCGGGAGGCGGAGCAAGGGGACTCTCCATAATATTGCCCATATTGTAACGTTTATCCATTAGATGATTCGATGGTTCATAACCATGGCGATATTGATTGAGCGGATCAAATTGTTGTGGTGTGGTAGGTGGCATTATTGAAGGATCTTCGAAATTAATTAGTTGTTCCTGCTGATAAGAACGTTGTCTCTGAAGGGAATCTTTGGCTAAGGATGGATTTTGCACGCCATGAATATGGTTCGTTTGATTGTAACTGGCTGAATTTAACATACAATTCTGGGGTAATTTCGAGACTGAGGAATACATGTGTTGATCTGCAATATGGGCATATGTAGGTTCTTGAGGAACCACGTAATTGGAGGATTGAATATTATCATAAGCAGATAATTGATTAGAAATATTTAGTGGCAAGGGAAAACGATTACCGGAAACATTATAAGGATGAGAATACGTTGAGTTAGAGTTAAGATTGCAACTAATGCCACCACCCCCTCCAACACCCGATGCAGCTGTTCCAGCTACAGCGTTAGCGGCAACAGCAGCATAGGAAATAGTGCTACTACCACCACCCATTGAATTGCCATCAATACAATCGTAGGGTGATTCATATAAATTTTGTTGCTGCTGATTAAGATGTTGATAGTAATGCTGTGGTTGGTGTGGCTGCTGCTGGTGATGTTGTCCTGTGCAGCCTTGTTGTTGATGATCGAATGAATGTCGATGTGGCAAAATGCTATGATGATGATTGGCTGGTTCAGTGTAATGTTCTAAACTTCTTGAGTGAGACATCTGTGACATTGGTACACCTCCACTGTCGTTTAAAATACCTCCATGATGATGATTGTGTTGGTAGTGATGCTGAGCAGGATAGGCCATGTTGCTGTAAACTAAATTTGATGCAGTTCTTGAAGATTGTTGTTGCTGTTGATGATGCTCAGGTACACAGCACATGCCATTTGACTGAGCCATTGGTCGATGTCTGGAGACTGGTTGATAAAGATTGCACTGGCATTGAGCTGGACAAAATTGGGTGTTTGTGGAGGCGAAATAATTGGATGATGGTTGTACATCGATATAACCATAATTATCACCGGCCAAAGCCTTCTGTCTAGAACGAAAACGTTTTTCTTCAACTGAATAAGCTAGAGCTTTTACAGCCTGTGAAGTTCCACCTGTGAAGTGAAGAAATGTAAAATTTTTAGTCAAAATAAATCAATATTTTTCTTTGCTCCTGCTTACCTGTATATTTTTCACGATACCGAAAAATGTCCATCCAGGAACAATTAATTCCTATAGTATCTAAACCTGTATAAATGTGTTTAATTATTTGCAACTCAACATAAGCCGTCATAGCGTCACGAGAAACATTTGTAACTTGATCCGGACAAATGGGTCCATCCAAGATTAAGGTGTCATCCGATAAACGGCGATAGCCCATGGCTTCAAATAATTTTTCAGCATCTAATAAATTCGATTTAATTTCATGTTGATAGAAACCCGAATACATCTAAAGGAAAATAATATTCATTTAAAAGTTTTTTTTTTTTTAATTTAATAATTGCAATAGTTTACCTTTAAAATACGAAACTCTTTGCGCCATGGTTTTGTAAATAAATTATTAGCATATTGACTAATCGACTCGAAAGCAGTTATGGCTTTTTGGGCACTGAAATCCTCTAAATCCCTTATGGAATTCTTTAATACTTTTGCTGTTTCGGGTAAAAAGAATTTACGATCATGTTGTACTATGCATAAAAATTCCTTTAAGCAATCTGTAATGATAAAAAAATAACAATTTAACTTTTCAAATATATTTCAAAAGTTAAAGTATTAAATTTACCTTCTAATTGTTTGCGTTTCTCTAACTTTACTATACTTTCTTCGGTATCAAAATAAGCCCAATGCCTTTTTACAATTTCATTCCATAGTTCGGGTAACATATCTTGTGTCACAAAGTCCGACATTTTTTATTCGTAAATTTCTTGCTGTTCTTCTTGATTCAACTGCAATTAAAAGTAAAGTGTTTTTTTAGATGTATAAATTAAATTGTTTAGCAGTATCAGCAAAACTAAGTTGATGTTTGTTGGTATAATTTGCTTTTCATTGTATGTTCTTTGTTTAAAAAAGGGGAAATCACCGTATTACTATATACTGTTGTTATGGGTATTTATTTGCCAACAGCTGGACATGACATAGTAGCGATAAAAACATGTAGATTTTTAAAGAATTTCTAATTTTTCAGTTTTTAATTTTAAAAATGAACTGATTTAAAGTTAAGTTTTTAAAGTTAATATACAAACTAATGTTGCAAGTCTGATTTAGAGTCGTTTTTACTTTTGTAGACCGATTTGGCTGCTGATTTTTAAAAAGCTTTTAAACGTTTTTACACCAATTCTATTTTACTCCATTTTTTTCCATTTTAAAGCAAATAGATATTGCATTTAGAAATGATTTAAATCGAAATAGTTTTTAATCAATACTAATTTCAACTAATTAACAGCAAACATGCAATTTCATACAAAATCTCTGCCCTGATCAGTACAATCTACTATTGTATTAATGCACCAAATAATAGTTTATATTTAATAAATAGGACAGCCGGCATTTATACTAAATTGCTACTTTTATACATATCAATACATGTATGTACATTGTACAACACAATAAAAATTCTAAAGATTTGGCAAATGAAAGAGAAAATGTGAGCAATAAAAATGAAAATGTGTATTTTATTCAAATTAATATTGTACGTTTGTCAGTTTGTGCATAATTCATAATAAAAAACAAAGTCTACTATATAATATGATGATCTATATATAAAATTGAGCAGAGCACACCATAGAGGATAATGCGTTGTTGTAACGTCATCAAAGCAAGAAATTGGCAAACATTCAATTGGAGAAAACTAGGGCCTTTTTAATAGAAAACAAACCATAATAGAAATACCAACATTATGACAGAAGCAACAAACTATGTACTAGAAAAATATAAAAAAAATATATAAAATGTAATGTGTCACCTGAAATAGACAAAAAATATGCAATGCCAGTTAATATAGAGTTAATATGACACTTGGAATTTTTAAATAAACAATACTAAAAAATAACAAGTTTGGAATTTTCATAAATAAAACAATTAATTTTATTATGCTATGAATGTATATTTTATAAAATATTTCAGTTCCTCAACGAAGAAACAAATGCGTTTCTATATTGATATTACTATTTGAAACCAGCAAAATCGGTACACGAATTTGAAAATCCCATAACTTTGGATACCTACATACATATGTATATCTCGAATTATATGCTGACGATCGATGAAAATTCATTGATATGAACACTCATACTGTATTCTTCAATTCCATTCATCCCAAAATTAAATTTTTCCGGAAAACAATGCAATCGATTTGTAAAACTTACTTGAAAGGATTCTTAACAAACTATAATTAAATGTGGCATCACCTCTAAGAAAAAGTATTGGGCATGAAAGTATGAATGAATGACTGACTGAACGATGGATGAAATGTATTGATGATAGGAAAATGCAGGTTGTTCTATATGTTATTTTTATAAAAATATTGTATCTATAGAGAAACCTTAAGACTGCAACATAATTCTAAAATACTAAAGATTTTTTATAATATTTGTAAACGAAATTAATATGTACCTTTAAAACAAAAATTATTTGTAAAACAGTTTATGCACAGTAGGTATATTTTTTAACAATAATTATTGTTATTTTTAGCGAAAATTCTTCATCTGCATATTATTAATATTTTATATTCAATTGTTGTTATTCTTATTTCTTTTGTTTATAAAAAACACAATAAACACAAGTGTATGATGAGTAATAATTATACGACCGGGTATATCTTCCATAAAAGGTATTTTGAAGGTAAAAGGTTGTGCTGATGATGGTGGGGTAGGTGCTGCTGCTGCTGGCTGGCTGGGTTGAAGTGGTTGTATTGTATGTTTTTATTGGGTGGTGGTTGTGACCGTAGGAATTTCGTTTAAAACAATCTCTATTTTAGGATTTTTGTTAAGCTCTTCTTTTCTTTTATTGGTAAAACTATAAATCTTATAGTTTTCTTATTTGTCTTAAAATAACTTTTCGTTCTATATGTTTAAAAATATTCACTTGTACATTGTATATGTAAAAAATAAATATTGCATAAATTCCTTCTTTGTCTCTTTTCACAATTTTTTTCTCACTTCCGTTTTTTTTCTTTTTTCTTGTAGTTTTTCTTATCATATACAACAAATATTTGCAAAGGAATTTCGTTGTTTTCTTTTAAAATAACTTATACTTTTTCTCGTTTAATTTAATATTTAATTTCTTTTTCGTTTGTGTTTATTATTAACTGTGTTGGTTGTGTTAGATCTTTTATATTAAAAATTTAACAATTTTACGTTTTATTTTTATTTGCGTATAATCTGTGGCAAAGACCTGTGCCGATGAATATAAACGGCGGCGATGACTGACACTAAAAATTTTGACGATGGCTTAAAATCGTCTGTAAGCCGGCTAAGATTTTAGCTGTTTGCTAATTATTAAATAAACTATATAAAAATTTTTAATAACTGTTGCTCGCCTGAAATCAGTTCGTTTTGTGTAAAACAATTCAAGGTGTTTCCAATGAGTTTACTGGTATTTAATATTCGATTTTTCGAACAATGTCAACTTTTTGCATTTTATTAAATTTGAATTTTCGACACTAATATGCTTCAATATTTTCGAAAAATAAAACAAAATTCTCATTTCTCATAACATTGACATTGAAATCAAAAATACATGCGCTTAAAAATTAAAATCAAAATTGTGTAAATCGAGAGATAGATGTAGTAAAACAAACAAACATGCTGGCAACCCACAAGTTATTTTGTTTTTACACGTGAATTCAGAAGGTGGGAGGATTTGCAAGCAGAAAGAATATAAGAATGCAGGAAATTGATCTAGGATTCGCCGAAGAATGTGAAAGTGAATGGTTGACCAATGCTCACTTTCCAAGTAAACTGGGAGGTAAGCCGGCATGGCTTCATTTGGGAGATTTACCATCAACAGAAGCTTTAAAATGCAGTAAGTGCAACAATCAAAAGAGCTTCTTGTGTCAGATTTATGCTCCCTTCGATGATGATTACAATTTCCATCGTATGGTGTATGTTTTCGTCTGTCGGACAGAATCTTGTTTTACTGCCAATGATAATAGGTGAGCGCTATTATGTTGAGAACAATGGTCAGTTTAATGGAAAGTTATTTTTCAATAGCAATATTACAGTTTTACGGAGTCAGTTGCCTTTGCGCAATGAGTTTTACCCCGATGTACCACCTCCGGAGGAAGGCGAGGCTGCGGTAAGTTTACTTCATTTATTTGTTTTAAACAGTATAACATGTTTTTTTTTTTAGCCTGAAGTTCTTCCCCCCAATACGAAGCTGTGTTTGGCATGTGGCTGTGTGGGTCCCTTAAAATGCGGTCGTTGTAAAAAAGCCAACTATTGTGGAGCCCCACATCAAAGATTACACTGGAAAATTCACAAATTGACATGTACAACCGAAGACTCTGTTTCAGCTAAAGCTCAACACCAGCCTATTCCAGAAATTTTGTTTCCAGAATGGGAAATTGATATAAATACTGATGAAGATGTCAACAATGACACAACAAAAGATTTAAAATCAGATATAGACGAAGAACAGGAACTGAAAAAGTTGGAGCAATTAACAGCTTCAGGTAAAGCAGGAGAGTTCCAAAATTTACCCGAATCGGAGTTGGAAAAATACACAAAAGGCAGTGAGGAAATAGATGACAAATATTTTCGAAAATTTCGCAAGGAATGCGATAAAGACCCTATGCAAATTATACGTTACAAGCGCAACGGTCAAGTATTATGGATAGCGGACACAGAAACTACTATAAAAGAACAATTGTACAATATTCCCAAGTGTGGTTTATGTGGTGCTGAACGGGTATTTGAATTTCAAATTATGCCACAAATGTTGAATTATTTAAAAGATTCCAATGTTGACTGGGGTGTTATAGCTGTCTATACCTGTCCTAAAAGTTGTCCCTTACCAAAAGACAAAGGATATGTAGAGGAATTTTGTCTTAAACAGGATATAGTAAATAGCCAATGACGATATTGTTTCCCTTAAATGTGTTTTTATTATAAATCAATAAAAATGTTTATAATACAAATTTGTTTTGCTTTAGGTTAATTTTATAATAGGAAAATGACGATGTTTGGAGAAATCAAATTCAGGTTGACGTTTTGTATCCTTCTGATGTCCTTTCGCCAAAACATTCATTACAATATAATTGGTTTTAGCCACCTGGAGCATGTCCAGAATCTGAAAAAAGCAGCAATAGAGTAATATATTATAAACAATTGATTGTAGCTTATACCTCTTGTTCAGGATTTTGTATCGATTCCAAAGCATTTCGTGCTTGATCAAAATGCTTGGCCGCCAAATCATAAATATCTGATGATGGCGGACTCATCATATGTTCCCGTATACTCTTGAACTCTTCATACGATACTGGTGGTGGTGAAGTCAAATTAGCAAATGGCGCAAAACGGCGATTAAAACGAATTTCTTCATTATCAAACTTGGGCATGGGTTGACGTATTCGACCGTCTTTAGTTAAGGCACACATGGCCTTATAAAAGCCACCACACATATTCATTAGTGCGTGATAATAGAAAATTTCCTGACGATATGATTTCTGTTGTTGTTTTTTGTTCTTTTTAGGCTTGGGCTTATTGCGATTTTTGGCTTGCAATTTGCTCAGTTGTTCCTTTTCGTATTCCTCTTGGGCCAATAGATTTTTCTCAGTTCGTGTCAGAGCCGATACGATAAAGCCTATGAGCAGTTCATAGGGATACCAGTAAATGTACAGAAATTCATGTACTGAATACAACTCCAGTTCAAAGCCCGACATTAAATACAGCATCATAGCTCTGAAGCAATTATATAGAACCCATGTTGCAAACTGGGTACTAAACTTTAGGGCTGTAGCAGCAGGTTCATTTCCCTCAACAGCTTTCTCATTGGCCAACATGCTGAGATGTGAGTCCAGACGTGCTGCTTCGACTTGTATGCTGTCGAAGCTTTCAATAAATCTACCCAACTTGTCACGTTGACGAGCACGATTAAAGCCACAAATACGCAAAAATTGTGTAAATGTGCTGATGCAGTAGCGAAAGAATGAGTCCAAATTCAACTGAATATCACGTTCCATAGCCAGAGGATTTTTGGGATTCAAAATCGGTGGTGAATTAAACACTCGCACAGAGTCCCATAGGAAATCTTTAACAGGAATTGTGCCAAAAATCAAGCGACGACTTGATATGAAAAGACCTTGAAGTACACTGCGCGAAAGTATGCATTGTCCTGATTTACGACTAAATTCTATAAAAAAGTTCTACAACGCAAAATTATTAAAAGTGGAGAAATTTTAACGTATAACTGTTATTTTAACCTACCAGAGCTGAATAGTAGTCTCGCATACGTATAACTTTGCAGGCATATTTAAGACGTTGCACCAATTCTTCTAGAAACATTAAACTAGAAGGTCTATCACGCATTTTAACGCTACGCGGAAATGTAGGTGGTTGACTGCGATCGTGAATACGGGGTGAAAATCCAATAGGATTGGGAGAGTCAGCTAAAAAAAGCAGAAAAATTGATTATCAACTATTGTTAACAACTGTTATTACTTACATCCTTCTTTGGGCTGGGTGCCTTTGTCAATGGTTTTCTTTATCTGCGGCGTCAATTCCAAAGAAGTATTCAAATGTTTATAAATCTCATTTATAACCGCTTCATCGATGCTATTAACCATGGCACAGTCCAAACTATAAATGGCTTGATAAAAATGACGCATAAAACGCAAACGATGAACTACCGCCATGATATCTTCAGGCTGAGGAGCCATCTTGCTCTGTCTAACTAAATCATCTTCAGCCTCCTTAAGCATTGAATGAATTAACGAGGCTTGAAACGAGTCCTCCGGCGCCAAAAGCGAAGAATTGCCATAAAGTTGAAAATCTTCTTCTTCATTGACATTGCTTGATATAATAATGTTCTTAATGTGGATAATTAAATGTCGAACAGCATGGCAGAATGCCTTCAGTGACTTATCCTCTATTTTGGCAGGAGCATGCAAATAGAAACAGGTAAATAAGACCTGATCCATTGAATTTCCCTCCAGCCAGGACACTATACAGGTGAATAAAGCATCAAAGATGCCAATAAGCTCTTCATTTGTTAAATTATTCAGCTTCAAAACTCCCGCCTCTACCGCCGACTCAAATGTATGAGGAGTGGCGTCATTTTTATTGTAGCCCATGCCCACATCCATCTTTGGATCCATCATTTCAATGGCAGACATGGCTTCAAACAAACCAAATAGCATATCTTGAGCTAATTCACCTAAATTCAATTCACCGCAGGCTGACTTAAAACTTTGCGTTATATCGACCCAACCATACTTGGGATATTCACTGGCGTCCTCATTATTCGTACGCATCATGCGTTGAACTTCTGGATCCATAAAGCCACCACAATCCTCCATTGGATACTGACCAGCTTCGGATGTTTCCGAATCTATTGAATCCATAATGGAGGCCAGTTGCACATTACCGGTGGAAGCAGCAGCAGCGGCAGTAGCAGCTGTTGCAGCCTGAAACCCAGGTTCATTTACACTGTTTAGAAATTAATGTAATTATTTTATGGAATCTTTATTTAACTCACAATTACTTACATTGGATGCATAACTTATTTAGCATACCCAACTTTAATTTATTGTAAATATTTGTAAAAACCCAAATTTATCCAAAAAAAGTAAAAATCCAACGAAGAAATTTGTCAGGGGATAGATACCCCTTGTGTTTGACAGTTTTTTGACAGTCATCTGTTTTGCTTATTTTTTGCAGAGTTGTATAAAATCGTAGTAGAACCGTTTACTTAATGTAAAATATGTATAGTTTTACTCAGTGTCGAATGTACATTAAGTAAAATGTATATATATTTTCGTTCTGCACACTGTGATATAAGTAGTCCAAAGATTCAAATCATCAAAATCCAAAATAAATTTGTAATGTGTAATAAAAAATTTTAGTATTTGAATACACACGAAATGCCGAATATTGGCCAATTTTCGTCTTACCAAAATATTAATATAAGCTTTACACTGACACCCCTGAAATAGAATTTATACAACATTTTTAAAATAATTATTGTTCAATACTTTTTTATTTAATTAAAATTTGAATTAATATTGATTTGAATATTTATATTTATGTATATAGCATAGATGTAATTTATGTACCATTGATTTTATTCGTATTATTACTATTGGATAAATTGGGCTTGATTCGTATATATATGTATATTTTATTTTGCATGTTTGTTAATAAACAATTATTTAAATATATTTTTAATTAATGCATAGAAAAAAAGAAAACAAGTTTTACTTTTCAATTAAAATATTCGTTGAAAGTCGTTAGAATATCTTCCTTGCATTTAACATTCGACGGGTAAATAAATTTAAAAAAATAAACGTTTTTATAAAAGTGTTATATAAAAATTATAACAATTCTTAAGACCACATAAATTACATCATATTAATTTAAGAGGGGGAAAGGAGGAGAATAAACTAAAAATAAATCATACGATTGAAATATTACAATTGTTAAATGTGTATGTTGGGATGTTCATCAGATTGATGTAAGGAGTGTTGTACAACTATAAGAATTATAAGCTAAAATTGTATGTTGTATGTAAAAAATCATTTTTCATTTTACATGTTTATTTTTTAATTTCTACAAAAAAAAAAAAAAAACAATTGATATTGTGTGATTCCCTTTAAGAATTATTATCATTACTAGTATTTTTTTAAGAGGTCTTATCATTTAAATCTAAATTTCCTTGTTGTTGCCTTTTGTAACGTTGCTCTTTACGCCAGGCATCGATGCGTTCTTTGAGTTCAATGTTTGGCACCAGCATGTCCTCAGTCAAATGTTGGCGATTAAACGGATCTGTGTTGCTATTCAATAAATGACGTGTTATAATGGCACGATCCATGATAGTGCCCGATGGTAAAACCACTGGATCTGACATTAAAGTATCCATTAAGGGATCCTTAAATTCATCAGGTGCATCCGCACACTCGTCTTCAGACTGTTGATTGGCAACTATAAAGAAATGATTAAAAATGGTTTTACAGGTTAAATGAATCAATGAAAAAGCAATAATTACCATAAATATCATGAGCTTTTGTTATTAAAGATCTGAATTTTTCTACTTCTATTGCTGAACGTATACTTAAACGTTCAATACGATTGGCAGCATCATCAAATAAATGTTTTTGGAAGGATCGTTCGTCAGCAGCCAAGGCTTGGGCAAATCTATCACAGTCTAGATGTAAATATATATCGAATATTTGTCCCAACAAACGTCTGGGTTCCCAGCCATATTTCGCTGGATTGCGCACTTTTAAATCATTGCATTTGGGTCCGCACAATTGATGCAAATTAAAATTCAACATTGAACTTAAGCGATCAACCAACTCGTCACGCATAAACGGTTCCTTAATGTCATCCTATATCGAAAAGAATATATTATATTTATTTCAATTGTCAGCCATTTAAAATAAGCAACTCTTCTCTTACAGTCAAATAATGAAACATTTCAACAGTTTCTCTAGCCAATGTCAAATATGAACGACATTGTCGCTCATCTGTGGCCAATTGTGATAAACGACTCTGCTGCTGTTCAGAGCCCAAATTGGACCAAGCCGGTTCACTCATCATTAGAATCTTTATTGTGTAATTTTAGAAATTTAAACGTTTTTATTAATCCTGAGAATATAATGGAAATGAACAAACCTGTGTTTGATGTATACGCTTAAGATTTTCCAAACATTCATCCAAGAGGAATGTTGTGTCGTTCATAAGCATATTTATGAATTTTACAAATTGTTTACCATTATTTGATTCATTTATCATGACTTGACGATGTACTGGACTCTCCCACATTGACTTGAACAAATGACTGATGTGGTATCTAGAAGAAATTTGTATAGACATGTTTTAATACGATAGAAAATTAAGCATGAAAACAAGTGAGTAATAAATAACACACAATGCCTTTAAATATCACTCATACTTGAAACCTAAATTTGTTACTTACCTTATAGTAAATTTATCATAAAATTCGGTACTTTGTCCAGTTGTTTCTATATCCACATAGAATTTCATTAATGAACTACACAATACAGTTTGAGCCAATTCATGGTTCCATATCTAATAAGAATATAAAAAGAGAAATTAGCCATCTCATATAAAACAACCGATGAGTTGAAAAGTTATACTCACCGCAACGTTAAGAACATTGGCTGGACCAAGGGAGAAAACAAATAATACTTCGACCAGTTTGGCAGTGACGTATGGATTCTTAATCATATGTGGTGCACAAACACATGTCAACAACCATGTTATTATTGAAAGATCGATGGCATGACGTATATCATTTTGAGCATGTTGCATAGCGAACAAAATAAACTCGGCAATATCGTCGATGTACCACTCGGGCAGTGCAGAAAATGCATCGGTCGGTTGTAGTTGCTGTGGTGACATTTTGGCCATGAAACGACCTTCAATTGCTCGCCCCTCCATTTGATAGAGTAAATATTCGCACACCGAAGAGTAAAAGAAGAGACATGCATTCAAAAGTTTGGGATCAAGCAGACAAACTTCACTGCATAGTTTAGATCTTGTCAACTTTTTGAATTGCTTCAACCAACGATCTCTAAATTGTTTGTTGCGCGAGGCATACGGTGTATTTTCCCAGTGCGATTTGGTGCGATCGATTTCATCGATCAGTTTTTGCAATTCTTTGATGGCTCGTGATTTTTGTCTGTATCTTTGTATGGCTGGCATGAAGCCCAAATGGTGGGCCTGCAGTGTGAGAAACCAGCATTGTGTTTGGAAATTGGCATTTGATTCGGTGTTGGCGTAATCCTTTTCTAAGAATTTCCTATACTCCTCGTCAGTAAAACGCAGCTTTGTATCTTGCTCTATGAAAATCAATGAGTTCTTATAAAAGGGATAATAAAGATCGATACGATCCAATTTTATTTTGACTGACAATTGCTGCAAGACACACATCAGATTGATAGCAAAACCATCGCGAGCCAAGAGTTTTTCATCACTGGCAAATTGCACACGTCGTTCATTGTAGCGTAATATTTGCGATATATATTCAAGAGTCTTGGGACGTGTATTGACATTAACAAGCAAAGATAAGAAAACCGAATGCATTAGCCCACGCATAGTAAACAGTTGCTGTTTTTAAAAATGGAGGAGGTACAAAAATATATTTATATGTTTATTATACAAATGGAAAACAAAGACGCATATGTCTATGCAATTTGTGGTCACTCACCCATCTAAATTTCTCTGAATTGGCAGCCAATGCATCACATTTACCATGAGCCTCGGCAAAACGAACATTTTCTTCGGCAAAAAATGACACTGACAAGAACGGACCCAAGTAGCTGCACTTGACAATCTCTCTTCCGGGTATTTGTGTACATAGTGGTGGTAAAAAGTTCATCTGCTTGGCTAAAAGATCACACAGAGGTCTAGCTGTACCCACCTTAACAGCCATCAATTTGGATAACAACTCCATGTGATGTGTTATGATTGTGGGTGAACATAGGTTACGCTGCATTCCCATAAAGAGACCCCTCAACATTTGGGAGAATATAAATTCAAAGTCTTGCGTCTTTTCGTAACTCTTGGCAATATATTCAAATAGAAAATCATCGGGCACACGTTCCTGATAATACAACTCCAACAGGGCAGACTGATCCAGTGCAATATTGAGATTCTCATATATTCGATCAGTCAGAACCAATGTAGTGGTTTGGAATATCTGATCTATTGTCATTTTGAGTATTTCTTGAATCTTTTCCGCATCCTCTGGTTTCTCTTGCGATACGTTTGTGTTGAATTTATCACTGAATTGATGATGATTTTTAAAACATTTAATTAGGTGTAAAATAACATTGTGTTTGGCCAAGGCCATCGGTGTGAAAATATTTGAAGATGGTGTTGGGCAAGTTCCAATGAATTCTGAGCTGGCAATACCTATTGAAGCAGTAGGTGAGTTTAAAATAATTTTGTATTGGGAAAATAACAGTAATTTACTTACCACTTTGTAAACCTCGAGATGTTGAGGGTTGATCATCAATGACATTTGCCATAATTTCTTGAACTTCAGTATCATCGCTTTTGATTTTTTTCGGTGTTGAATGTGCAGCTACTTTTAAACTTTTATTGACTCCCTTTGCTTCGTCTGTTGTTGCAGCACCAGTCGCACCTTCTGACTTCATATCGGCATCATTATTGTCAACAGTACCGGCAACTGCTCCTTCTCCTGTTTCTTCATCGTTGTAAAGACGCAAAACACATTCCGTGAGCACATTTGTTATCAACGATTCAAAATCAAATCGTTTGTCTGGATGCTGTTCTATAAAACTGGCAGTTTGTGGACATATCATTGAACCGGTACAATATTCATTCCATGTTGCATTAAGAACTTTGGAAAGCATTGATTCTATACGTTCATTGCAGGATTTTTGTGGTTTTGCTGTCACAAGTTCTAGGGATGTCTGCTTTTGTGTAGTGTTAGCTTCGGCCGGTGATGGTTGTTCCGATGTTTCCATATTTTCAATGCCAACATCTAAATTTGTTGGCGATTTTTTGTTATTTTTATTGTTATTTGAAGACGAGGACGATGACGAAATTTCATCTTCAATACAGACATCAGTTTGCATAATATTTATGGGAGCTGACGGTGCTGTTGGTAGTGTTAATGTTTGGCTTTTAATGGGTGTTGTGGAAACTGATTTCATTTCAACATCAACATCCATTTTTTGTTGTTCTCCAACTGGCAATATCAATTCCTGACATTCTGTTGAAATGGAGGAAGTTTCTTGAGCACCAATGTCGCCGCCTAACGATGACGAACTGGAGCTGTGCGTTGGAGGAATTGCTTTGACCAAACGGGAAGAATTCGAAACATTGGTAGCTGTACGTGGACCTAAACCAATTTTATTTAGAACAAATTGTTCATTTTTTATTTTTTCCAATACCTATACAACATACCTTCAACATTTTGTGTGTTTGAGGATGCTGCACTCTCATTGGCAGTAGTGTTAGATGATGATTTGGCTAAAGTGCGTAATCTCCTGGCTCGTATCTTTATATAAAAAAAAAATATTTATTTTGTCACTATAACAATAATAAAATTCTAGGGTCTTTTACCTCTTCTGCCGTTAGTTCACTCATTTTAGCAACATTTTGTTCCTGTTCCGACATTTTGCTTCTTGTATATTTTTATGTATGTCGTCCCCACCAACCAGCAACTACAAAATTTTCTTTTCTTTGTTATATTATACGGTTTTTTTCTTTTTGTTTGACGTATTACCGTCTTCCTTTTTCTATTATTTTTGATTTTCTTTTCGCCAGCTGATTTCTAAACCCTGCTTCTTATTGGAAGTTTTGTTTGTTGGTAAAAATCAAAATTTTGGAAACAATTTGCAAATTTTGCGATTAGGTTTTTGCACTATATTTCATAAAATAATTTACTTTATAACACGGCAATAACTATTTTCTTGTACTATGCGCAATTACTTTAATTTTTTTATTGTATAAAATTTATATTTTTATGCTGTTTGGCAAAACGATTTCTTTTCTTCCGCAGACCCAGTAAAACAAAAGAAAATACACAATGACAAACAATTTTTCATTGAGAAGTTGCCAGATTATAGAACGAACGGAGCAAAAAAGTAAACAAAAGGAGGGATGATCTGGCAAGGCTTGAGAAGTGAAGTTCATATTTTATGGAGCGTCAATTTAAATTTGATCTTTTTGAATTTAATTTCGAAAATTTTGTGCGGATTTCTGCTACATACTACCATGAATTAAATTTTAAATGACTGTTGAGAGTCGGTTGATAAACTACATCAACTACATTTTTAATAATCTACACATGTATGTGGGAATACATCATGCTTTTTTTTTAATTTGAGATATTCTGATGATCTGTGATCCTGAGGGACGTTTGCCTGATCCAGGTGAAGCATCGCCTGCTGATATGCAAATGAACAATAACCTTGCTCTATTTGACAAAGTGCCACCGGATAAGTCTTAATTGGACGGACGTGAATTTGAATAGCACCCAGGTGTATGGGCAGGCTGCCAATTTGTCATCGAAGTTCTTGCTACCGGCTAATGAAAGATTTTAACTTTAACGCCGTACAATGTTGTTTCGGGCGGAGGAACCGATATGTCTTTAGGAGACAAGTAGAATGTTGTGAATTCTAGTTTAAACCTCCCAATGGATGATTATGATGATGTACGTTAAGTCTTATGGGATTTCAGAAGGTGACAAACAGAACTAAAAGACCTAGAGTTTTACCGAGCAAATAAATATATGCATCCTGATGTTTCTTGATTTGATTACGTTGGTTCCGATAACGACAGATTTACCACTTTGAGTGAAATCAATATTGAGCATTAGATTGCTGCAGGTTCTCAACAATCTAATCGAGGATCAGACGATGACGGAGTTATTGAAAAATTAGGTGAGAGTAATAAGGGTAGTCCATCTTATATGTTTATGATAGGATTCAGCTTTGGCAGGGAATTTTCAACGGACTGTTAGGGAGGCTAAGGCGCAGAGTTCTGTTGTACAAGATAGATCTTTTGCCAGTATTTTTTATGCCAAGAAGGCTCCTTTGTCTAGCGCAAATAGATTTCCAAATTTATGCTAAATTTCGGATCGGTTACTAAAGAGGATACTTGGAGTGAATAGGAATGAGCTTCTTAAGCAATGCCACAATATGAGATCGCTATGAGAATTGAGTTGAATAAGGTAATTATGAATTGGAGACCAGAGAATTTCATCGGATTGTGATCATCGTTGGCATAACTTGAAAACTGTTAGGTATAGATCTGCTTTAGGGAGGGATATTTCTATGAGGAAGAATATGGTATTACTCTAAATCGGTATTAATGGTATTGGTTTCAATGGCTACTTAATCCCTCATTTCTTAACGGTTGTTTCACTTTTTGTTAAGCGCGAATCTGGTGGATTTTGACAGTAATAACATTACTTTCTCCTCTCTATCCACAATGTCTGACCACTTTCCTCTGAAATTGGATATTATACTACAAACCTCTTCGTATTTTCACTTCGTAATGAGAAAATGCTATGGGATGACTTTCTGAGGGACCTGCACAGGTAGCGTTCCTCCTTCGCATAGGACTCTTAGTAATTCTGAGATTGAATGCACATTGACCACTTTACGAATAATGTTAAAGACGTGCTTAATGTCTTTTCAAGGTTACGAAAAATTTAAAATTATCCCAATTTTGCGTTTGTAATACAATTCCATTATTTTTAATTCGGTTTATCGAGATGAGTTTAAAATATTAATAAATTCAAACAATAGTTTTTATTATTTTTAATTATTATATATTTTCATTAGAATTCTTCCATTTTAATAATAATACAATTTTTGTATTTATTTTAACTAAATAGTATTTATGTCATTTATTGTTTTTCTTTTCATTTATTTTCTTTACCTTTGACCTACAACTTTATAAATATAGTTTAAGATACATAGAATAAATTTTATTATATTGTTTCCTTGTTTTTGAATTATTCCCTCCATTCTTATAAAGTTTTTATTTTATTTTTCTCTTATAAGTCATAGAATTTGTATTCATGAATCGGCATTATTCAGTGCATATATGTATATATTTTTAATTAATTTAACTTATATTTGTTGATGTATAAACATTATTATTAATTTTTATAATAATTATTTAATTCTAACATAAGTGAATTATTTAGTGGACCTGCGTAAAGTATGTATGTATTTTTACTGAATCGAAAATATATTAAAAAAATTAAACAATTAAACAACTGTTAAAAGGAATAAAAAAAATTAAAAATTTTGCACAACATAAAATTTACTTAAGGCAACTTGGTATTTTTTTCTTTGGTTGTATTTTAAACATTAATTAAAAAATCCGGTGAAAATGTTTGATTATTAAAAAATTTATTATTTGTTTGCCATAATTATTGGTGCTAATATTTTTATAAAAATTAATACCCATGATCTAGTATATATTTGTATAATATTGAATATTTGAAAAAAAATATATATTGTTTTTTAGAAACCAAAATGTACCTTAATCATTGAAATGAATACAAAAAAATTATGATAATTTAAAAATTTTGAATTTTTTTTAGGTTAAAATAATATTGTTGTTAATAATGCACGGTATGGGTTTTATGTGTTTATCTTTCTTATTAATTTATACATACTACCATTATTCTTTATTTAATTTGTAATATTCACTACTGTTTTTAATAATTATATGTTTTTATTACTCCAAATTATAAAATTACTATTAATTTCACACCTTGATTTTTATCTCAGTTTAAAATTTTATTTTTTTATTAAATAAAACTTAGTGACTTTCCTACGAGTTTTTAAAATAAAATTCCCCCCGAGATACTAAATCAGGGACTGTTTAATGTTTTAATATAACAAATTTTGAGTTGGTGTTTCTTTTTGTTGTTTTTTGTTTAAACAATTTGAATTATTGTTATATGCAAATATTTAATTAAGAATTAATCAAATTGAAAGGGTTTTAGAAATGTGAGTGTGTTAGTTAATTCCGTGTTAATTCTTATAAAGTATTCCAAATTGTTTTATAAATGAAATTCTACTTTTTTGTGAAAATTTAACACATATTTGTTCATATTACTAGTAATTTAGTTTTATAATTTAACTTTTGTATGTATTTTAACAATCAAATATTGAACGGAGTTGATAAAGCCAAAACAAATTCGATTGGAATATTTAGCCCTTTGGGTCGCATCATAATCGTGTAAAATATTTTGAACCAGTTTCCACGTTCATTGATGTCTACACCACTTGATAATGCTGAAAATGTTTTTTAGATAATTTTATTTTCTTTTTTGAGATTATGGCATTCGACATTAAACCAAAATTCGATTTACATAGTGAAATACACTGAAAAGGGAAACTAAAACTCAAAATATTTTAAAGAATAATTTGTAAAAAGTGTAAAAACCCAAATGTCTTCGACTTAAAGATACCTTCAAGATTGATAAAATATTTGACCACAAGTCATATTTTAATTTTCATTCAATGCATAATTTTTACGTAAAAAATGTTAATTTTGTAAAAATTGTTCAAATTGTTAAATACCAAGAACTTAAAGAAGATGTAATAAAAATTTTGGAAGTAAAAGACACTACTCATCAATCGATCGGTGCAATATTAGATCACAATTTCCATAGCATTTCGATATTATTCACTGAAATAGCATAAATAAACATAAAATAAATAAAATTAAAAAAACAAAAAAATAGTTACGGGAAAAAATAAGTTAATTTATTATTATTTTTAAGATTATTTAAATTATTAAACAGAGTCATTAAAGATTACAAGTTAAAGCATTTTGTTTTTGTTTTTTTTTTTTTTTTTTTTTTGATATCTAAGTGATTAATAATAAAAAAAAAGAGAAAAAAAGGAAAACAATAACTTTGCATTTACCGATTAATTTAATTTATTTAAAGTTTATACGTTTATGAAATTTGTTTGAAATTATTTAGAAAATAATATGTAGTTAATGTTTATGTGTTTGTAGTTAATTACTTTGTAATATAATTTTCCAAAATAATAATTCAAATCAAACTTGTGTTATATTCAAAAGTATTCACGCACATATTTTTTTTCTTATTTTTCTTTTGTTTAAAGACAGCTCTAACGTTTAGCTCTAATGTTATTTATTTTTTAATTAAATGTAGTATGGTATTGTATTTATTTTATTATATTATATATATTTATATTTTTTGTATTTTATTTTAATTATTTATTTTATACGTAGAAGTGGCATCTTTTTTAATATTAATTATTCTCTAAAAAGATTTATTTCATTTTCAGTAATTTGCTCGCTCCATTTTATTTAAATTTCTTTTCCACCAAGGCAAATAAAATCCAACTAAAAATGTAATTCATTAGAACAAAGGAAATTTAAAATATAAAAAACACACAATAGTCATGTAATTTGTAACATATTAAATGATTGCAATTTCATTTGTTAGTCTTCGATTTTTCATAAAAAGGAATTAAAATAAAACAAAACTAATATGATAAAATTACTTAAGAAAAAAATGCCTAAAAACTGGAGAGTTAACTGAGAGAAGAAATACCACCAATCAATCTATCTGCATTTTCGTACTATATATATAATTTTGTATACGGATGTATATAAAAACGTATATAGAGATATACATAGATATCGTCCATTACAAATATTATGATTCGTAATCTCATTTTTTCTTAAACATGCGACGCAGTGTTTTGCGCCAGCACAAACTATGCGCAGCATTCGTTGCAGTAACCGGTTGCGGTGATAGGGACTTTGAAGACGAGAGACGCCAAAATGATGTTATCAAGGATTGAGATGGAGATCGGTTGTTCGGTGTATTCTTGGTTTTCTTGGAGGGTGTAGGTCTTTCCATAGACGGAATAGCGGCAGGCATTGAGGGCGACCGCAGATACGTGGCTGTACTACAAGTACCGGTAGCTAAGTCGCAGTCTATGGGAGCTGGCAGAGACAAACAGGGTATATAACGACGTGGATGAAGTGTGTGCGGTGGTAGTATCGGAGAGGATGA